AGCCATATCATCCTATCATCCTTACACAATTTTAAACTATACTGATTTATTTGAATTTACATCATTATGTAATCGTCTTTTTAGCTTTCACGGCTCTTTCCGCTAAATTGAACACTATCTTCCTATCATCGTTACACAATTTTAAACCATTTTGATTTATGCGAATTTCATCTTTACATAACAGTCTTTTTAGCTTTCACGGCTCTTTCCGCTAATTTGAACACTATCATCCTATCATCCTTACACAATTTTAAACTATACTTATTTTGTACATGTCAACAAACAAAAAGTATTAACAACATTTATTTTTATGAAAATAAAACAATTTTTATAAAAATAAAAAAAAGACTCAGTCTTCGCACTGAGCCTCATCCTCGTCAGAGGAAAGCCTGTAAAAAAAATGATCAAATTAAGATAATGAATGGACTTACCCGTAACAGACTCCGTCATCGGAATCTGACGATTCCTCGGAGTCCGTTGGCACATATTGCAGATATCTGCCGTGTGATTTGGGGTATCTCTCCACTACTCCTATGGAGTTCACTAAAGAACTTGCTGAGCTTCTTCTTCTCTGCTGGTGGTCTAAACGATGGTTAATTAATATTCTATGAATTAAACTTACTTATTCTCCTTATTTTGGTCCGCCATCTTTTTTCTTCTTTAGCTTTTCTTATAAAAGTTTAGCTGAAAATAGATGTTAAACAACCGATAACGTAACGAAATTCAAAAAATTAGAGAGCACCCAACTCTATACGACGTCAGTACTACGTTCCATTCGGATAGTAGAGACATATGGGATGAGTTAGAGTCAGGAAGCTAGGGCTTACTGACACCCAGGCCGACCCTATATAAGGCCTCGTAAACCAGAGTCGGAGAGACTCTACGGGGAGACTCGATGAAGAGACTCTACTGAGACTCTTCATCTGTCATCTACCCCTCTCATCCTATCTTTGAGGACAAGACACGGTGTCCTCCTGGACATTCGTTGTCGAGTCCATTGTAGAGTTCTCCTAGAGGAATCTCATCCTTGAGACCTCTACCCTTAACATCTTAGACTTATCAGTATTACTCTATGTGTTGATCATGTATCCTTTGTAGTTGATACCTTGAACTCAGTGCTATGTATGAACCATGTATACTTAATATACTCTTACAATAAATATTCATATACACAGACTGTCTAGTTACATTCCATTCCTCATCTACCGCTACACATAGTCGGCTGACAACCCTTCATTGGGGTGTCACCGATGATGAGGTGTAACACCCCTCCTAAGATGGAAGGGAGGTAACTTTAATGGAACGTAGGTGTATAACAAAGAAATCAAATGTTGCAACAGATGTTGTC